ATGGGTGGAACAATATGTTGAATGCCCGTGATATTCCAGGGACTGTATGAGATGTTCCCTATCGCGGGAAGAAAGTGTTATCTACACTTTGAAGATGAGAAAGTTGGAGCTGAGAAGTTTAGTAACTCTCCCACATTACATGGCAGAAATACCATACCAAGCTCTTTCTCATTCCATTGCACAGTGCTGCCTTGGAATCATGGACTTGAAAAGTCCGAGTCATCTTGGGCCACAGGAACTAGCCAAGGTAGATGAAATGACTAACGATTTCACCTGTCTTAGAGAAACAGTTGGTTAACCACCGTAGCTCTGAACCACTGCACCACCAGGGCTCCATAGAAGCAGTTACCAAAGGACAATCCTAGATAAAGTTTAAAAGTATGTTCTCATGAGTTAGTAGTATATTAGCCACGCGAAACCAGTGTAATAAAACCAAATCTTTTTCAAGTCACTGTGCTAACGTCAAATATTTGGCTCTGTGCACTCTGGAGGACGCTCCATTATGGCAGACTCAGGCTTTGGTCTGCAGCCATAGTGAAGTAGGTGTCTGAACAACCCGTCACACATCTTCTCATCTTCTAGTCCCAGCTGCTGGCTTTGGGATCCACAGGTTCTCATTTCCGTCCCAGCGGGGCTGCTTCCCTGGCGTGTTAAACGTCTCTAGTGTCCTCAAATGAATGCTGTGATTCACTAATTATCCAAATTCAGCTCAGTTAATTCAGTTAATCTCTGATGTTAAATCGCTGATGTATACATCTGCAAAGCACATGACAGGCCTTGCAACCACTGAAAGCACTGGTGGGATCCTGCAAGTGGTTTAGAAGAGCCCTCTAGCAGCAGAAGGATGAGTCTGGTGCTCTGTCAATGTGGAAAAATAACACAGATTCTCACACCCAAGACCACTTACAGAGTGTAGACTCATAGTCATCTAGCAACATCTTTGTGAGATATACCCTGAAACGCAAGCCTTCTTTATAAACAAAAAGACAAAAAAAAAAAAAAGTTGCCGTGGAGTCAATACTGAGTCATGGCGACCCAATGTGAGTCAGCACAGAACTACGCGCCATAGGATTTTCAATAGCTGATTTTTTGGAAGTAGATTGCCAGGCCTTTCTTCCAAGGTGCCTCTGGGTGGACTCAAACTGCCAACCTTTCTCTATAGCAGCCAGGTGTGTTGACTGTTCACCACCCAGGGGATCCTCTTTATAAATACAAAAAGTAAAAATTCCACAGGCATCCATGAAAATTTCATTTCTTCTTGAAAGTTAATCTACTTAGTGGGTCATATGGCCCATCTGTCACTCACCTGCCTGAAATCATTTCTCTCATCTCTTCTGCCTCTTTAATCAGGAATTTTTAACTCATTTCATTATCAGTCCAAGAAAGCTCTATCAAGGAGCATCAAGGTAGATCCTACTCTATATTATGCATTTATAGCTTCCATGGAAGCATTGCAGTGATGATAAAGAATAAATCATGGGTTTTGGAACCAGATGGATTTGCCCTGTGACCATTCGATCTTAAATAACACAACCTTTGTGAGCCTCATTTTCCTCACTGGAAGTTGACAACAGTAGCAACTCCTCAGGATGGTGTTTGTGAAGATTGGTTGTAACAAAGCATCGTGTTGCTTTTCTACCCCTAGAATGCCCTGTCTTCAATCTTCCTCCAAGAGGATTTGAGCTAACTTACAAAAGTTAAAACAATCCATAACACGGCAAGTAAAGGCAAAAACAGTATAATCCTATGAAATGATACTAATGCCCTATATTTTAATAAGCGTTGTCAAGGATTATCTCAGATGTCTTCACGTACTTCTGAGGTGAGGGGAGAGCAGGATGATCATCTATTTGAAGTTTACAGGTAAATTCAGAGACGTTAGAAAAATCTTCCCCATATGTGTTTTGTTAGTGTCAGGCCAGTACTCTTGGTGACACCAAAAGGTGTTTGGTACTCCTCATACCTATTACTTTGTTACTGCTGTGTCTGTGAGAAGCCCTTTGCATGTTTGGAATTAGGGACTGGCTCCCTGAAGAAGCACCACGACACAGAACTGAGAAAAGGCCTGATTACAATTCACCCGAGAGGTGGCTTACAGCATCATTGGGGCATACATTAGGAAGCAGAGCTATCATTAATCTCCAGTATATAAGAAAAATAATTCATGAAGTGAATTCAGCTGGAAAATATTAAAAGTGAGGAGTCTGAAGTAAGGAAAATCCCATCAAAAGTCCTAACAGTTAAAGACTGTTTCTCTAGTGAAGACTGAAACCCATTAGATGCATTCAAATGTGTAAGTGGATGATTTCCAAAATTTTTCAGTCTGAGGCACATTTCTATTTTTTTTTTTTTTTTGCTAATAAAATGTGATGGAAATTTGAACATGATGTCAGACACTATTAATTTTATAGCATTGATTAATCTCACATATATAGACTGTCCAGTCGCTGGCCTCTGCTGGCTGTGATGTACTTAGTTTGAGGAGTGGAAAATAAAGAAGCTAAGGAAAGGAGGCTTACATTCATCCAATTTTAAAATGTCTGAGAGCATAGCTAATATAGCTATTGTTCCACTGCACCAGCCAAATTCTACTCTTTAGATTCGGCTGCTTGTCTTTCATAATATAGGCAGAGCAAAATCATTTCTTTCCTTAATATGAGTTGGGCAGAAGAGAGAAATATACTGAAATAATGAGTTTTCATGTATCTCTATAAGCTTAGATAGGGACAGATTTTATTCACATTATTTCAGACCTTATGAGTAGATCATTTGTAAAGCAGTTAAGTACTTTTTCTTTAATCCCTATTCCTCTTGTAGAATACGTAAAGGATAGAAAATACTGTCTTAGGGTGTTTCTGAATTCTGTTCATTTTCAATCTGATCTCTAACCCATTACATTTCAACAGGCACTCATTCAGCACGGAAAAACTGATATAAATATTGGGAAATTGCAGTAGAACTACCAAATATCTCCCCTGCCATCACTGAGATAGTAATTTGATGTGTGAGATGTCCAACAAAGAAGATGAGCTTATGCATCCATTGTTCCATTCATTCAGTTCATTCCACAAGATTTATTAGCATTCACAATACTAGACTCTAAGGATAGAAGAAAGACAAAGACATACACACCGCCTGTAAGTTAGAACAGCCTGGGTGTGTGTTTTGGACTATGGGTAGGTATATGATGAAAATACAACATTTAAGCTAAAAATAAAAAGTCCCGTTGGGTACGGAAGGGTTGTAGCTATTAATTATACCAATAAACACTCCAAATGAAGTTTTATCAGCTAAGAGGGAAAACAACAAATGGTAGCTTTCCATGTATTTACCCTCAACCTGTTTTGTACTTTTTAACTTTGAAAGGTCGCTTCTAGGCTCACATTATCTTGATCTGATAAACTACAAGGACACAGGTAAATTATGCAGCTAATCCTTTCTAGTTATAAAATTCAGCACTGACCTTCAAACCTACCTACTGATCATCCTTGCAGTATTGTTCTCAAAATAATTAGATGTGTTCCTCTCGTAAAGCTGTGGGGTTATTACAGTAAGCTTATGCTCTATGTGAAATGTGCAGTTTTTTTTTTAAACTCCGTGTATGTGTTCTGTTTCCTTTCTTTGTGTTTCTGGCATTTTTGTTAGCTGAGCACTCACACTTGTAATTCTAACTCATCGTTTGAATCCATCTGTTAAAGTTTGTATTCTTTTCTGTATGTATGTGTGTTTAAACTGAGGAGAACAAATGAGATCTGAGATTAAGGATGTGTTGTTTTGGTTTATCCCCTTAATTCCATTCTAACACAACTAATGTAGACTCTGCTTTGGACTTAATAACATTGGCCATATGACTATAGTCTCCATGGAAACTAGCCAATAAGAGACTGTATTTAATTAGAACTGTCTATTCTATTTCAAAACAAATGAAAACATATCCCTCTTTGGTTTCACATCATTCTCAATGTGGTCATCTGATGGACTGGCTTTGTAGTAGGAGTTCATTAGGAGAAAAACACATCCTAAAGGTGCTGTTAACCATGCAAAAATGGGGAGCTGTTGGATTGTATTAAATAATTACATTTAATATCTATATTAAAAAGCAGTGCCTAAGAGACTCAGATTTACATGAGACAAGACCATAACTGCCTCAGCAGCCTCCACTGCTAAATCTGCCATCTTCATTTCTTTACTTTCCCAAACTTAATGAAAATGGCAGCTCTTCTTTGTATACAATAGGATGCTGATTTGCAGAATTGAAGATGGTGATAATAATGTAAGTAGGTTTGATCATAATGTGCTAAAATGAATCTTTTTGCATACTAACACATGGTTAACTATATTTCATACAAGAAGAATGTAAATGTAGAATGTTACCTCAAAGCCTGTTCTTGAATATTAGAAGCCTGCATAAATGCATAAATAAATACATGATTAGAGATAAATAGATGATTAGAGTCTGAATATATAATTAGATCTATGGGATATATGCCAAAAGCTGAAATATATATTAAACATATTGCCAAAAGATTCCTTATCTAAAACTCAGTATCTGCATATTCAGACGAGTTCTCTATACCCTCTCACTGTAGAGGTAGTGTGGGGACAGAAAGCTCCTTGTATTACCGAGTATGCATGAAATGCCGCTTGGAGCACCTGTGGAAATCACGTCCCATCTGGAGAGTAAAGCTCTCCAGGACTGAGAGCTGCAGACCACTCTCCAGGGGCTAGTCAGGTAAATAACGCAAGTCAGGTCGTTACTCTGGCCTCTGTTGCCCCGTTTGTAAAGGGAGAACAGTGCTAAGTGGCTCTTAAGACCTTTGACAGCCACACAGTGATGTACTCCTAGGAAATCGGTGTCTGCTTTTGCATTATAAGCAGATTGAACAACTGTGTATCGGTGGCAGTAACCTGACGTGTTCTCCCAACAGAAGGAGTTAGTGTTCTGGATAAAATTGACCTAATATGAACTACTGTTAAGCATTAAAACAGTAACTGCAGGCTTTGAATATTGCTGAATGAGGCATCTAGGATAAACATTTCTAGACAATAAAGAAAGTATTTTCCATGGCTGGTACAGTGCTCATATGGCGTTCAACTAACTAGAAACAGCCAGGGGAAATAATAGTGGGGCTGAATGTACAGAACTCTGTTCTAATGCAGACGAAGTCCAATAAATTTAAAGCTGAAGCAAACATGAAACCAAGAATAATTCGGATGCACCGCGTAAATCATTACCTCGGTACCAATGTGGTGGACCTGCAGTTACAGCACTGTTTGCCTCTAAAACCGATAGTCATTCCAGAGGTTATCAGCACAAAATGCCAGGCTCTGAGCGGTGACCTTTGAAGAATTGTGAAAGTGTTTCTCCTGTTTCAAAGTTTATGGTGAAGAATTTGGATGACTGCCGCCTACACCAGGGAAAGGTACTAAAGAGTCACTTTGTTTCTGTCTTTACAGAGGAAGAGGGTGGAGATCTGGCCCAGCCGGGCATCAGTTTTCCAGGGTCCACAGAGGAGGAACTAGGTAGAGTACAGCTAACACACTGGTTATTGAAGCGATCAGATGTCACCAGGCATGCTCCAGGTTTGAGTGACAGTCTGCACACCCAGTAATTGGTGAACTCCCCACAAAGAAATGTTTTAAGCAAGTGTTAATCTAATTTTAGGGCGTGTCCCAATAAGAACTGAATAAAATATGGTAAAGGTTTTTTAATAGTAGCTTATCAACATTATGGAAACTATAGATGAGAAAAGGATTACTCCAGGTCATCCTGGTATTAACATGGATGATACGTGTCTGCAAATGTAGAACGATCCTTCTATTCTCGGTCACGTATAAAGTATACTAAGTAAATCTAAGGATGTGAAAGTCTCCTTTATTTGCACTTGTTTCATAAAGCTCTGTTTCTTGGCATAAAACAGCTGATTTCTCTATGCAAACCCGCCATACTCTGTGGGTTGGTTGCTGAGTACAAATTACATGCTTCCTTCCAAGGGAGCTCCGAATTACTGTCAGATTATATTTTCCCCAGTGCTACTTACAATCATGTGGAAATTTTATTTTTATCTGCCATAGACACAATAAAGCGATGCCATATTTGGCCATTAGTCACTTGACATGGAGTGACACTTACATCAAAAAGGGCCAGTGCTTCTCTTAGAAATGTGAAATGTTGAATAAACTGAACGTCAAACAGTTGAATAAAATCAACATCAAACTGTAACTGGAAAAAGAAAACCTATCAGTGGCTCCAGGTTCTTTCCCGTCAGTCTAACATGGTGATTATCTAGCCTAGAATATTTTCAGCCTCCGTTTCAAGTTGCTATTGCCCATATGCTGTTACAACTCTAAGAGCTATGTTATGGATCATAAGTTTGATTTACATTTAAATTTGAATTCTTCTTAACTTATTTCAGACCTTTAGTCAATGAACCCCTGCTCACTTGATTAGCTTAACAAATAATACTGAAAATTGAAGGGGTCTACTTGATAGAAAGCTGTGATTTCTTTCAAAGAGACTTATAGCAAATAAGGGTTTGCTTTTCAATTTAAAATGATGAGGACCGTTACAAAAGGAATGAGCATATTATCCAAAGTGGTCAAGATCTCAATTGATTTCTAGTTTGTCATTCTAAACAACGCTTTATTCTCTTGGAAATACACGAATTAAAATTTATGTCTCATTAGAAAGGAGTAATGACTATATCATTTGAATAATGATGCATTATTTTATTTTTTCTCTCTGGTGAAACCCTGCATCACTACAAATAGTCACTGCTAGGCTCCCACAGGAATATAATGACACAGTTAAACTTGTTTCATGGAGACACTGGAAGTTGCTCACCTACCTTTTGTACTATCTCTGAAAATTTTTAGTACCACACTTGTAATTATAATGCCAGTTCTTCTTTTTTGTACCAATTTTTTTTTTAGAGTTAGGTGAAAATGCCAAAATAAATAAGAAATACTCACCTTTTAAGCTATGTTTTTGTGTCGGGAATTTGGGGCTTGAAACATTCACCCTCTTGAAGGGTTATCTTGGATGAATGCTGAGGCCCACGTGTGCTCACGGCGCGCTCACCTGGGGCACAGATACTTTTTCACGTAGCGCATGGCATGCTAGTGCTATTTAATTTGGTGGCAGGGCCTGTGCTGCCTCCATCTGCCTCGGGGATGTCCTCTTTGCCGTGGTGCTATGGCTGATCAATAGCACTGGAGTCAATGATCAATCACTCTACTTAGATAGGCTTTTCTATTGCAAAAGTATAGATTTGCCTTATTCAATCCCTATTATATAAATAAGGACCAGTGATAGCCACTTTATAACTCAGAATTCCTTTTTCATAGGTAGTACCAAAAATATTTGCCAAAATGAAATTAGTGGTGTTCCCAACTATCAGTTTGACCTAAGCAAAGTTATTATTCACTGTTGGTAATGAGTGATCTTGTAGAAACAGACATTCTTTCAGAGGAAGTGAGCAATGAAAGAATCAATGCCTGCCACTGTCCTTCACCCAAGTATAAACAGAGAACCACAGAGTGCAGGAGCTAGGAGTCACCTTAGAAATCTCCAAATCTGATCCCCTTCTTTACTGAAGAGGAAATTGAGCTTGAGTGGGAAAAGCCCCTTTTCAAGAGAAGGAACAGGACTTCTGGCTATAATGTCAATGCTGTATTGAACTAAATGCCTATAATTCAGCATTATTTTTTTTAGTATCGAGCAAAGCACAAATACATATAAAAACTACTCATGCAAATTGATAATAACTATATTTTCTCAGCAAATGTTTAAACTAGAACATAGCATTTAAATTAACTTTAGTGATTTCATTTGACATTAAATTCAAAACAAAAGTAATAATATAAATTATGACAATCTGTGCACAACTTAAAGATTCTCTATGTTGATATTGATTTTGTGTTTGAGAGGCCAGAATGCCTGGGCTTTAATTCTGACATTTGCATTGCAACTTTTGTGACTTTTCACAAGTTACTTAAAGTCTCTAAGATTTTGTTTACTCATCTTTGAAAATGGTGACAATAATTGCATCTACTTCATGGATTGATATAAGAATTAAATTAGATAATAATACTGTGTTTGGCATATAATAAGGCATGTGAAAAATTAAGTCTGTTTTTGTCATACTATAGATAAAAACTACTGGTTTTTTTTCCTTCGGTGTTAAGCAACTAATAAAATATTCAATCATTATTGAAGACACACATCATTTATAGTAAACAGTGCCTGGATGAAACTGGTTTTGGTGAGTGTAGACAGTGCGTCTTCTTGGGAGTGTCAAGAAAGATTTCAAGAACGAGTCATATTTTAACCAAGTCTTGAAGAACAGATCAAAGTTTGAGAGGTGAAGGAGTGAGGAGGAACCTGGTAGCACAAGTGGTTTGCATTCGACAACTGACCTAAAGGTTGACGGTTCAAATCCACCCAGTAGCTCCATGGAAGAAAGGCCTAGTGATCTGCTTCCATAAAGATTACAGGCAACAAAACCCTATGGACCAGTTCTACTCGGGAACACATGGGGTTACCATGAGTTGGGAGCCAACTCTACAGTAGCTAATGACAGCAACAATAAGGTATGAGGAGAGGGCCGAGCACATTTAGAAAAATGACAAGCACAAAGTCCTGAAGGCTCAGTGGAGGGCTTTTTGAGGACGGAAGCAGCAAGCACGTAACTGAAATAAGATAATGGGAGTAACTTTGGAATGGTAGGTTCATCCCAAATTCTTACCTTGTATTCCAAGATTAGGAGTTTAAACGTGTCCAATCCTCACATAAACTGAGTGTCAAGGGATGAGGAGAGGGAATTGAAGGAGTGAGAACATCACATTGGTGGCACTGTGCAGGCAAAATCGTAGGGAAGGAAACTATTGACCAAGCTGTGTCCACACTTTGCCCACAAGGTGGTAAGAGCTTAACCTGGATTGCTGGTTATGAGAATGAGAAGGAATAGCTGGATTTTAGAGACATTGGAAAGAAGAGAACAAGAGGATTTGGTGACTGGCTATGAGGAACTTTCAAATATGTTACCTAGTTTTCCCGTTAGAACTGGTGGTGAATTGGGATGGGGGGAGGAGAACGATGGTAGGGAAGGAGAACTCCACATTAGCTATCATATGATTAAGGAGATAGTGAAATACCCAACTGCAAACATCCAATGAATTCTTTTTGTAGGACTGGAGTTCAAAAGGGAACCCAGTCAAGAAAATGAACATTCTGGTTCTAGTGATATTTTGTAGCCCATTCACTGAAACACTGTATGTCAACCTTAGGTCTGCATTAGTTAGTATCCCCTAGAGAGTGTTTAAAACACACTGATGCCTGGTCCCCATGCCTAGACGTTCCGATTTTGTCCAGCTGAAGTGGAGCTTGGGCACTGGTATCTTTAAAAGCTCCCTGTGTGATTCTGATGTGTAGCTAGTGGAGAGAACACTGATATAATGAGTCTGAAAGGATAATTAATAGAAAAGGCAAAATAATAAATAAATGAAAAGAAAGGAAGTCTTGAAGAAAAAAGGAAAGGAAAGAAAGAAAAAGTCTGACTTATATTCCTAATGTTAATATAATAACTAAGCAGAAGCAAATACTGTAATTGTAGACATTTTATTTTTCCAAATTGAGTTTTCTAGTTTCTGCATCTCTAAATTGAGGGAATTGAACTCGATGGTTTTTAAAGGCTTTTCCAAGTCTCAGATTTATGAATCTGTAGTTCTACTGGGCCAAATTAAAGTTAAAACATTTTATGGTGATCTTACTGCTGTTATAGTGGAATGAGTAATTATCATTTCCAAAATACTGTGGGACATTTTGCAGCACCGTATAGGTTAAACTTATAAAGCAATGAAGTAACATTTGCTTCTGGCCCTAAGCAAAGTATCAGTCTATTTTTATTTTCAACTGTCCTCAGTCTCTAAAAGCCCCAGTGAGGGATGAGTGACATTCCTTGGAAAAAAAACATAATTTTCTTTTGTGAGAGGTAAATTAGTAAAGTCATCTTTTTAAAAATGAGAGTATTACATCTCATACCCATACAATTATCTATTTTAAGGGCATATGAATTCTCTGAAAAGCACATAATATATGAAAAGTAATTTTATGAGGAGTAAAATGGATGTGGAATATAGGAAGGTAAAGAAGCTTTCTGTAAAATGAATCTAAAGTCAGTGATAAAGTGGATTAATGTAGCACATTCAAAATGACTACAATGGAGGAAAACCCAACTTTTTCCAGAAGAAATGTTTTTAGGGAAGACCTTCAGACACACTAAAATTAAATTAGCTGATCAGTAATTTTTGTAATATTGGCTCACTATAGAAGATACATTTCTAAAAATGGCATTTCCTAATTCTCTTGAATTTTATATTTAAGTGAATTGTAAAGAGATAGTGATTTATTAACTTCTATGAAAACTATTATATTGACCCAAATTTTGTACTGTAAGTTAATCACAAAATGATAAAAAATGAAAGACAAGTTAAATAATCAAAGAATACTAAGCACATACTGT